GTTTAAACCGGAGCCTCGCAAAGGCAGGGCAGCCGAGAACCTAGTGCTGAGATGATTCCATCTCATCGTCCTACAGACAGTTGCTGAGTTCGTAGCAATATTAAATCGAACCGCATGAATTTCCATTGGGCAGTTCCTAGTCAGAAACCCAGCAGCGTTCGCTGAGCCGACTAAAAGCTCATTTTTCCAGAAGCAGTGCGCAGGTTGCCATTAGGTACCCCGATAACTTCCTTTTCGCGGATGATGGTGCCCTGCCTGGCCAGTTCATCGCCACAGCAGCTCCGCCTTGCCAGGATTAGCAGCAAGCCCGCAGCTTGCAGACCAGTTTGTGACTAGATTTAGGTATATCTGCATAAGGTCGCACAGAGTGTTCAGAAACTTACCTCTGACAATTAGTGCCACATCGTCAGCATAGGCGATCGCCCGACAGCCTCTCTTTTCCAGCTCCTCCAGGATGTCATTAATGACAATGACACAGAGCAAAGTTGAGAGAACCCCTTTGCGGGATGCCCATAGTAACCTAACGCAGTAGAGAGGCGCTCCCCTGCTCAGCAATGACAGTTCTGTCGCAGAGCATATGCCAGATAAACGCCACTAGGTTGATCCCAACTCCGAGCTTGCTTAGGGCATTTACAATCGCCTAAATATCCAGAAAGACCCCAACCACGAAGTCCATGCTTTCCAGAGACTCTTCTATAACTTTAACATCAGAATGCAGGGCGGATTCCCAAGACCTGCCGTGCTGAGAGAAGCTTAGTCTTTCCCTAGGAATCCTTTTTCTTATATACAGGCCAATTAGCCACTCCAGCGTCTTAAGTAGAAAGTAAGAGAGACTAATTGACCTGAAGTCCTTTGGAGATACGTGAGAGGATTTTCTTGCTTTGGAGATAAAAGTTACTCTCACTTTCCTCCAGGCCCACGGGACGTATGCCCCATCTATGCAGCTCGCGTAGATCGGAGTCAGCCAACTCTGCTGCTTCCCGGTGACTTGAAAGGCTTGCAAGAGTCGAGTGCTCAAAGCAGACGGCGCTTCTCCAATGGATCACTAGAAGGATTGGAGCAGCCCATGAGATTTAAACCGGTAGTTCTACACCGTCCATGGCTAGCGGGGAAATGGGCGTCGAGAAGTGGCTTAAGCAACTCCTCTCCGCACATTGCTCAGTCACCCGACTCATCTTTGAGGTAACCGAGGGGAACAGGATTTCTGGAGAGGGTACGCCTGAGTCGAGATGTTTTCTGGCAGCCTTCCACTTTTTCGCAGAATTCCCTCCATGATGAACGCTTGGCTTATAGATCCCCAAGCCGATCTTGTAGAGCTCAAAATCATTTTTTATGTTGTTCTTTTTCATTTTGTTAAAGAGGCGTCGAGCAGACGGTGGAGCTCCGACAGCTCCAACGTCCACCAGCTCAGTTTAACCTTACCTGAAGGCCTACTTAATGGGCACGACTTTTCAATGGCAGTATTACATGCTGTAGTGAATTTTTCCACCAGGTCATCAGTTGAGCTGTAAACAGGATTACAGTTATCGCGTTGGGTTTCTGGGAGCGACTGCTGCAGTTTCCTGCAGTAGAGGACCCAGTTTGTCCTCTTAACATATCTAAGAGGAACACTTTTGGGACGCTCACCCTGCAGAGTGAGGTTCCAGTACCGAGAACCCTCCAGTCAAATAAACGGGATAAGAGAGGTGAAGAGGCCAGGGTGAGGTCAAGAACCTCGTGCCTTACCGCAGTGACATTGTGGGTTCGTTACCTCTATTTCAAATAACTAAGTCCTGAAGACTGGTGCGCTGAAAAGCGCGTGTCAATAAACTCACTGAAAGTCACCATTGTCACATTTACCAAAAGAAGGAAAGTCAACTTGACTAGACGCACCTTGGCGAGTTCCCAGAAAAGGCGAACTATCTAGGAGTAACTCTGAACAAAAGACTCAATTGGAACAAACATCTCTAGAATGTTACCAACAAGGCTACAAGGGCGTTTTATGCCTGCCAGAGACTTCATGGCAAGATTTAGGGAATATCACCCAAAACTGGCGTACTCGTCTTTCAATACATTGGTAAAAACCGTTGTGACATATTCGGCACCGGCCTGGTGACCAAAAGCTAAGCAACTCAACGTGAGTGCCCCCTTGAGCAAGCTGCACCGACTGGTCCACGTGGCCATCATAGGAGCTATGCGCACTTGTCTAACAGATGCTCTTGGCGTCATTACATGCATTGCTGCTTTGCCTTTTTTGATTGAAAAATAGGGCTGCTGGAACGCTCTACGGCTGCTCAATACGATCAGCATGAAAAGTGAAGATCTTCGGGGTTATTTCTAAGTTCTCAAGCCATTCCTGGATGATTCCGAGTTATCCTTCTAAAAACTCTTTAAGGTCAGAATTCCTGAAAGGGACTGCTGTGATAATAACTATGAATAACTATGATTAACGAAAGGTCGCAAGTATGATATACCGGCGGATCGAAGATGGACGACGGGAGTAACTACTGGGGCAGGCGTACTTGGACGAAGATTCCAGAAAAGTCTTCGCTTCTGCGGTTCATCTAAAGGATACACTGCAGAGCTATTTAGTGGCTGGGAAGAATTTCATATTGCTGCACACTGGCAGTTCCTCCAGGGGAAACTCCAAAAGACTCCTGGCATCCTGAGAGGACACTGCAAGTTAAACTACCATTTGAATAAAATGGGGTACTTTAAGCTTCGTGGGCTGGGTTTAGCACAATAGATCTTATTAGCTCGCAGCGCGAGTATTCCTGATGTAATAATAATAATAACAATAATAATATGTATGTATGTGTAAAGACACATACATTGGAATAAGCTGGTACAGAAGAAATAATTGCTTACGCAGTTAATTTGTTTTCATTGTGCTAGCTGTGTTTTAGTTTTACTAAATACTATGTTATCTACATTTTTTATAAATTTAAAATTGAAAAAAATAATAATAAAAAAATAAAAGAAAATTTGTTGTAGGTTGGTTTTGGTTGGTTTTGGTAGGTAAAAAAATGACTCCGTGGCAACATTGTAACTGTTGAAATTTGTACAATTACCATATTCGAAAAATGCACTGACACAGTGGTGGCTAAAATTGCCCACAACTTTAGCTATTATCAGAGAACTTAGATAGTTCTCTGCTATTATGTTCTACTAGTGTTGCATTAGCGCGCCACTAAAGTCAAAGTGACAGCTCGCTATAACATCCACTGCTAGTTTGCTCTTTCTAACAAAGTAAACAACAAACTACTGGGTGGTTTGACATGTGTTGAGCGAACAAGAAGTGGTAAACAAATGTGGTGGAGCATTCGAGAGAGATATTGAACGAGAGAAACAAATAATGGGGGATGAGCAAACCAATTGGGATTGGCGCTCACTGTGTACATTTATATGAGTGTAGGTGTGTGTAATATGGTCACTGTGCATCAGCGCCTATTATGGATTTGGCTCATAGGTAGGGTTGCCACTTTCGCAAATTTTTTCCAAAATTGGTAGAAAAAATTCGAGTTGGTAAAAAGGTAAATTTTTTCGCATTTTGGTAGATTTTTGTTAAATTATTTTATTTGGACTTTAAAACTTTTCGTTCTTGCTTAATTTTTCGTATTTATCTTTTTATTCTAAATTAATTCTTTCTAAATTAATTTTCGAACGCCTTAATGTATACTTCATCGTTAAAATTCGAGCATATCGTGCCCTTTTCAAAACTCATTTTGCTCGAATTCTGAGGAGCTTTTGATTGCCTAAATATTTTAAAAGATTCTTAAAATAAAAATAAAAAATTAACAGAACCCACTATGATTGCTTGAAAAAAAAATCTGTTGTTAAACTAAAAAAGAAGAAAACGCAAATGTCCGGTGACAAAAAAATGTAAATCAACGGAAATTTTTAGGTGCACATTGTTGGTTAAACTAAAATTTAATGGGCTAAAAGACTGTAAACCGAAAAATGTTTTAAAAATTCAGAGAAAACTTCTCTAAATTTTGGCGCAAATTAGTTGAATTCTTCTAAACGTGGCATATAAATATAAAGCTTTAATCCTTGATTTTTACGATTTTGGTTAAAGCGCAAACAAAAATAAAATTAAAAAATTGTCAATATTAAAAAATCACCAAACGTTTTTCGAGTCACTGTATTTGTCTATAATAACTCCAGTTGTAGTTTTTTTCAAATTATGAAGTTCCGTTGTTGCCTTAGGTTCATCATTTTCGCTTTTATATGCAAAATCCCGAGAAGATGTCAATAGTATGATTTCAAATACAATATCATTGGGTAAATATAAAGTTACTTAATACAAATTTTTTATTGAAATAACTAAAAAAAAGAACAAATCTATAGTTTTTATTAAAATAACTAAAAAAGTTATTGGAAGATATTTTCCAGATTTGGTAAATTTTTTTCAAGTGGATGGTAAGTATTTATTTTCGACAGTGGCAACCCTGCTTACAGGTTCTTCGTGTGCTGAGCATATGCAGCATATGGTCAAACTGTGGGACGAAAATTTGAATTGAGAATTTGTTTGTGCTATCCATACATTCGTTGTTGTTATATTCTCAGATATATATTTCAGATTTTTATATATACATATGTATGCTGGTATATACGTTCGCAAACTCAATTCGTACACTCGGAGCAGCGTGACATTAATATGTTGCGTCAAAATCCACTTGGAATTCAGTTATAAACGGAAATTCAACGATTGCAGTTGTTCGGTCGCGAGTGTGTCGGTTGCGTGCATAGTGCAACAACAAACGTGTCGCTGTGAAGAAAAAAATAAATCATTTCATAGATTCTTATAAAATACTTTTAAGCACGCGCAATAAATTGTAGAAACAAACAAGTACAGTGAAAATTTAGTGCAAACAATATTGAAGTAAATTTTGAATAAAAGCCAAGCTTACAATTTACTAATTCTTATAAAAGCCAATAGCCAAAACCCATGTAAACACGAGTGGGTGAAAACACGTACAACAAAGTCGGAAAGCCAAAAACGAAAATCAGGTTATTATTTCTTTTTAGTTTTTTGTTACAGTTTTTGTTGTTGTTGTTGCAGCAAGGATAGACGTGCGTTCGTGTGTTGTGCTCATATGCGCCACACATTCCGGAAAGGTAGAAAGTGGAAAAAATCTAATATTTATTGCTGGCAAAAATACGAATATCGGTTGCTGCAATTCGTTGATGCTGTAATTTTGTGTCAAGGAAGTGCCTTCGCCATTGCCGCTGCCATATTCGTTGCTGCCGCATTGTCTCGTTGTTCGTTGGCTGTCAAAGAGCTAGTGCTGCGAGCATGGAATAAGCGCATAGGCTACAAAATATAATAATAAAAAATAAAAAAAAACACTGTAGGAAAAACAAGAACAAGGTGCGGCAAGGCAAAAGTATCATAATAAATGCAAATCAGCTGTTTCTGCGCGACCAATGCTGGCCAGTGCAGCTGAGGAGCAACAAAAAAAAAAAATTTTATTAATAAATTGGCGAACAGTCAAGTGTTAAGTGTGTGTGCATTTTTTCAAGCAAAATATGTATTGATGTTTTTTGAATAGCTATATCTACGAAAAGAAAATACAAAGATCGAAAAAATCACCAAAAAATTAATTACATATATATCTAAAGCTATATATTTTTATTTATAAATCTGTCATATAAAAAATTGTTAGAAAAACTAAGGAAGCAGTGTGTCTTCTACGTTGTTGTGTATTTTAGGTACGAATCAACAATCTTGTTTATGTTGTTGTGGCAACTAAAAAAATATTCTCCATAAATTTTTCGGGAAAGTTGTTGTTTGCGTAAACTGGTCTATGTGCATATCTGTAAGTTTAAAAGAAGAGTGAATTGTAGCTATGAAATTTTGAAAATTCAGATTTATTTTTTTCGTGCCCATTAATGACTCAATGTAAGCTCTAAAAACTCTATCGTTCTTGTCACAGCTTTCTTATAACTTTTTAAATTTGAGTAAAGGTTAGCGAATAATTGGAACTGCAATGGTTCAAAATTTCGTATAAAAAAATAAAGTCCTGTACTTTAATGCTCTCACCCCCTAGTATAGATCTACATCGAAAAACTATCTCAGTTTTTTATTTCGAAATCAAAAAATATTAAGAGGTCGCTTGAAGCGCTCAAAGTTTTCCATGAATTTTATATGAGAAAAACATTTTTCGTAGAAATTGTATAGAATTCTTCAAAATCAACATTTTTCGATAGAAAAACTTTGCTTCTCTTCACGAGACTGCCAATAATAATACCCAATGGTTTACCATTTTTAAATACTAGCGATTAATTAAATTTTTGGGGGTTTTTGGGACCTTTAAAAAATAGTTCATAATAGAAAAAAATTTGAATTTTCAAAAATTCTATACCATTTCTACGAACAATTGTGTTTTCCCCAAGTACACGAAAAATATTCAACTTAGCTAAATTTTAAAAGTGTAGCTATGCTACGCATATAAAGTAATTAGGCCAGATTATCGTTTATTGATATGCTTGAACCTCGGTGATGCTAGGCCTTTTCTAGTAATTTTATTTAATGCGACATATTTGCAACATATGCACCTTTTCGAAAAATATATAAGGGGTATTCACGATCCGGTGCATACTGTCTAGCATGGTGCATAGAGAGCATAGATTGGCTAATTTTGTAGTCGTTTGAATAAATGAAACAACAACAATCAAGCTATCTATGAACCATGCTAGACAGTATGCACCGGATCGTGAATACCCCTATAGTTAATAACACCATAAAAACTTTTAAGTCACTGTCACACGATTGGGCATTTGTCTAAAATTCGGTGCAAATCATATCCCAATCGTGCAACTCATAGCGATTTGGCCGGATACCGGACGGAATATCCGGCGGCCGCATAACAAGTCCGTTGTCACCAAAATAAATATAGCCGACTTCAATTCACCCTTCTCTGCCTGCTTGCTGCTTATAATTTTCTTACAAGGCGGACCCGTGCGTGAATCTCGTTTTAGTACTTTGTTGCTACTTTTTTTTTTGGTCCTTAGGCAAATATTTTGGGAACATAAGCAGCTAAAAAGGCGCGAGAAACTACAATGACATACGATACGTCTTTCAATAGTACTTATTCATCGAATTCTCCATCCAGAGCTAAAATATTAAGAAAAGAAACTAACTCAAATGTTGCTCGTGAATCTCACGACACGTTTTAGGAGTGTATCGTTGAAGTGGCAGATGGAAACCATATTCAGCAGTGTGACCAGGTTAGCCCTTTTGAGGCTAGATTTAGCATTTAATTTTAAGCTATAACCTCAGAATTTTCGTTACTTTTTTCTGGCCTTTTTTACTTAAAATATTCAAAATAAAATTCGGACCGGAACTTAAAAGTAATTAGCATACCAAAAATACTTAATATTTTAAAAACTACTGTTTACCGTTCAAATATAACAATAAAAAGCAAAGTACCATTTCTTTGAGAACATACTCCCGTAGGTTTTAAAAAATTGTACTACGAAATTTACCTTAAACTGTATATTTAGAACAATTGTTTTCATGTTTCTATTCGCAATTTTTTTTTGGTTTTTTCGTGTACAAAATTGAACTCCATTTTTACCTGGAAGTAATATAGTCGTTATTAACCTGAAAGATGCTATTTTGTATTTTGATAGGAATGATTTAAAAATTTATTTAAAGAACATCGATTTCGCGGAACTTGTCGAGTTGGCGATGAGTTTTTAAGGAATAAATGTACTGACTTCTTTTTAACCAATTTAACCTCGCTTTTTGTGATCATCTGGTTACATTAATATTAAGTGTCGCTATCAAGAGAAATGCCTAATTGCGACCGAGCCGAGGAGCTCGAATTGAGCACAGTGGCGATCCTTACGCTTGGTGGTCTATCAATTCTAAAAAATATCCTCAATTGTCATCGCTTGCCATAACGTATATTTCAGCTCCTTGCAGCAGCGTTTATTACTTATGTACTGAGTCGATATTTTTAAGCATTGATCGATGCTCGGTACAGATTTAAAAAGTAATCCAATACTTTCAGTTCAAAAATATGGAATAAAAGCGATGAATCGGACGATGTTGAACCTGATAAAATCGTATTATACTGTTGCGATAAGGTCAGGAAAGCGATGAGAGTATTGTTTACGACGGCAATATTTTCGATATATGGTTTCCACATTGTCCAATAAAAATTGTTTTGCTTTTGGGAAAGCATCGTCTTATTCGTACTAATTGTATTGTGATATTCATAGTCGAAAAAAAGTCTATACAGCTTTTTTGACGGATATTCTGTTAAAAATCATGCCAAAAAGCTGCAACTAACTTTAGTGTCGACCTTATTTTGACTATGTGTACGGCGCATTGCGTTTAGGCGATATCATACATACATACATATGTTTATTAGTCACGACTTTTTCCATTTCAGTGACGATGTTGTTACCACGGTTGCCACAAGTCAAAAACAATGTTTTATTATGCAATAAACTGTAAAAAAAACCTCGTTTATTTGCCATAAATAAGACATGGGTACAATGAATAGTTTTATCAAAAGAAAACTATAGAAATTCATTTTACAAATTTTTTTTTGTTATATGAGAAAGAAGGATCCATAAAAAATAAATGCGGTCTTTTACTACAAAATTCATTGCACCTACGTACTGCTACCTATTATAGTAAAATAAAACTAAAAGAGCGTGCCTCGGGCTATTACCGTTTCGATTCTGATAAAGCATTTTAAGGTGCACCTCAACTTTTTTTTAAATATCAGTTAAGCTACTCTAGCGCTCAAGGCCTCATATAATAACTAGATACATTCACATACGTATATAAATTCATTTTTATTCAATCTCCGTATACGTACGTGTATAGAGAAGAATAAAAAATAAAAAAAATTCTGAAACAAAAAACAACACATAAATATTTTTGCAACGCACGCATTTAAAAATACATTTTTCATAAAAACGCGCTTTAAGCTATTGTGTTTTGAACGGGATCTTAGCCGCAGAACAAAAAAATTATTTAAAAATTAGACTTAAGTGCATATACCGAAACGCTAAAGCGCCCAAATACACCGCACAAACTGCTATTCAAACCTCCTTTTTTCATATCCTCTATATATGGCATATTTCGTGATATCAATCGCATGCATTTCGAACAAATTAGATGTGGCATCCCCATACATATAATACAAATTATAGATGATTTTCAATAAAATAACATTAACATAAGATTTCCAGGCTTCACGTATTGGACACAAATACATGTAAATAGTGACTATTTTGAAATCCATCAATATGGATCACGATCCAAATATCACAATAAATGTTGAACGTGTGACAGGCGCTCCAGGATGGTATTGAAAATGGACGAAATCGGACTGTAACCACGCCCAAATCCCATTTAACGGTAATTTCCAGAAATACGAAAACTTCGATATTTTAGTAACTACTGAAGATAATTCACTCAAAATTGATATTTACAATAATTTTCAGACGAAAAAGAAGAATATTATAAATTTTTGGAAAATGGGCGTAGCCACGCCCACTTATGGTTACATGTGTATATCTTGGTAACCACTGCACCAATTTCTTCCGAACTTGGCACAGTTGTTATCCGTTCTACAGCATACCAAATGGCCGAAAATTTTTAAAATTGGACAATAAACACGCCCACATCCTATATAACGGTAATTTAGAGAAATACGAAATCTTCGATAAATCAGTAAATATTAAAGCTAATTTATTCAAAATTGATATTTGCAACAATTCTTTACAGAGAAATATGTTTATGATAAAATTTTGGAAAATGGTCGTGGCACTGCCCACTTATGATCACATATATGTATCTCGGTAACCGTTATACCAATTTGTACCAAACTCGGTATGGTTATTGTGCTTGCCACATAAAAGCGAAACGTTAAAAATCATTGAAATCGGACTAAAATTGAGGCCGCTTTTCATATAAATGTAAATTTCAGAAATGCTTGAAACTTCAATATTCCGAAATTTAAGGACGCTAATTTACTCAAAATTAATACACCCCGGCTTACTATGTAGCGGTAGCTTTCGGAAAGGTGAAAATCATATATAATCCGCCCGAACTTAGACTTTCTTACTTGTT